CGGGACAAGGAGAACTATAACAACACCATAATTTAATAATATTTTCATTTTTATTATATTTTGAGTTGGTTAATTAGCCGACTTGCGGTGTACCGACGGGACTCAATAATCGAGTCGATCATTACCGAAAAATACTTTTATGAAAGTACGGGAAGCGGAGAGTGCGTCGATGGCATCGATTTATGATTTGAGGTCTCAACCATTTATTTTGGGTAGCCCGAAGTTGAGAGAAAAATGACAGTGGCGGTGATTTTATTGTCATTTTCATGTCTAGACTTCGGGTAACCGTTGACCCTCGTTAGGCATGCTGAAAATTAGCGGGAGTGCTTTCTTGAAAGTATGAAAACAGTAGAAGCCGTTCGTAAAATTTATTTCACGTTTCAAAGTTTCGAGCATTTATTTTGAGAAGCTCGAAGTCGAGTGCGCATAATAGAAGAATAAAAAGCCGTTTTGCGGGGTTCCGTAAGGTTGCGTGTGACCTCGGTTTAACGAGAATCGAGTTGGAGCGTGTAGACAATTCAAGCATGATTCCACACGGACAAATTTCGCATTTTTCGGAGTTCCGAGCATTTATTATGGGAGTTTGAATTTCTGCGTTAAATAGTATCAAAAGGAGCAAATTTGTCGAGGACGAGTTCGATCGTTCGAAGCTTCGTTTTCTCAATTTTTTCAGTTTTTCGTCTATTCGAAAGGAGGTATAATTCTTGATTATTATTATAATTGAGTCCGAGATTTTTATTAGTGTAAATTCGAGTAATTTTCGAGTTAAAACAATTCAGTTTAAGTATACCAGTTTAATTTCGGGCTTAGTTTGATTTTTAGAAAAATCTCTAGAGTATTCCTTTATATCCTGCGAAAATTTTTTAGAGCGTCCACAAAAGTCCTTTGAGCGCCCTTCCGATGCCGGAGTGGGGGTGGTGCGCCGCGGGATGGCCGGAGTGGAGGTGATGCGCCGCGGCAAATTGGGCCCTCCCCGAGATGACCGGCTGGTTTCGCCACTGGTTATATATACATAAATATTATTAGAGCCCATGCCATGTAATTGTTCAAATATGAATCTAATCTTGATAACATTTTACCAATATTCATATCTTTTTTCCATGCAGGAATGGGAGTACTCAGAAGCCTCCATACACGATTCCATTAGTAATAAATGGACTTAATGAATGATGAATAAACACCACTTACTACTCCCGTTTGGTTTCATGTATCTTCATAATCTATTTATTTTAAAATGTTTATTACATTAACTCATTTATTATTTATTATTAATTAAATGATTATTAATTATTATTAAATATTAATTATAGTATCATTCCACCATGTGCATTTATACATATGTAAATAAAATAATATAAGTTATTTGTATGTATATAATAATAAAATTATAAATTAGATAATGATATTATATTTTAATCATAGAGTTTTATGAGTTATTTTTATGCATTATATTAAAATTATAAGTTAGCTACTGATATTATGTTTTAAAATTTGATAACTGGTTAAAGTAAATAGTACATAATGTTTTGTTTGCATATGAATCACTATATTGATGTATAAAATGTAATAAATAATATAATTTTTTATAATTTAGAGGGATCATGATCAATTAATAGCTTAAAAATATTAAATTTATTATAACAATTGCTTATGTGATTTTAAGAAATTTACTATGACATTAAAATAAAATTATGTTATTTTAAAAACAATCGCTTAATCAGATAAAATAATATAATATTGATTCTAGAATAAATAACTTGAACAAAATTTTTTTTACTATACATATATTTTTTTTTATGTAACTTTCTATATCATTTAGTGTAAAATAACAATTATTAATTTTAATAGTAACTATCATATGATATAATAAAACAGTATAATTATTCCTCAATTAATATAGATTGTAACTATTTTTTTCATAATCAAATCAAAAAAAGTGCAGAGAAAATATGATGGAATAATAATAATAATAATAATAATAATAATAATAATAATAATAATAATAATAATAATAATAATAATAATAATAGATTGTAACAATTTTGTAATAGAAAAGTAGCCACATAGGTGAAATTTATGAGGTAAAAAAATTAATGTGTAGCTAGCAATTATACACACTAGTATTCGATCATGTGCATTTGCACAGATTTAAATAAATATTATAAATTATTTATATGCATATAATATTTAAATTATAAATTAGATAATAGTATTATATTTAAAACATAGAGTATTATAAGTTATATTTATGCATATAATATTAAAATTATAAATTAGATAATAGTATTATGTTTTAAAATTTGGCCATTCGTTAAACAAAATAGTAGGTAACGATTTGTTTGTATACGCAAATTTAATAAATAATGTAATTTTTAAGGAATAGTGTTCAAATATTTAGTTGAAAAATATTAAATTTATTATAATAATTGCTTATGTAATTTTAAGAAATTTTACTAAGACATTAAAATAATAATTTATTTAAAAAACAATCGCGTAATCAGATAATAAATATAGTCTTGATTTTAAAATAATAACTTGAACAAAAAGTTTTTGCAATATAATATTTTGTGTACTTTCATATATCATTTAGTGTAAAATATAATTATTAATTTTGATAATAATTATATGACTCAATGAAAATATAATTATTACTCAATTAATATAAAATAGTAGTATAATGGTTTTTGATTAAATTTGAAAATCAAAGGAGTAATAAAACTGAAAGAGCTGTGTCAAGCAAGATCACCCGTCTCTTTTCCCTTCTAATTTCTTGGGATAACAAACCTTTGTCCCTTCCGAGGAAAAGACTGTCCAAAAATCTTTATTAATGCCTTCCTCATTAAATGATGTTTCAAAGGCCTGACAAATTAGTAACTATCCAGTGTGTGATTAGGTCAACATTCAATTCCACCATTAATGCCTGACAAAAAGCTTCTCTTTTACATCCGTCAAATTTGGCACCTAGAGGGCAAAAATTCAATTTTAGTCCGCTAACTTGTCCATTGTCCATTTTTGGTCCGTTAACTTGTCCCTAAAAAAAAAAATAGTCCATTATGTTACATTTTTCATCAATTTTAGTACACTACTCCAGTCGGCGGGATTACGAGATGATGTGGACCGGGATTGGAACTACGTGGAGGGATAAGATGTTGACGTGGTAGGATAAAAAACTGATTTGGCATCTCGTAATCCTGGGCCACGGGATTAGCGTACTAAAACTAATGAAATGTGTAATATAATGGACCTTTTTTGATGTGGGACAGTTATTGTACCAAAAGTGGACAATGGACAAATTAGCGGACCAAAATTGAATTTTTGCCGCACCTAGAGCATATGCATAACATGAACTGTTGATGAACTGGAAAAAAATAAACAGATTATTTTTTCATAAACAAATTAAAGGAAGAAAATGAAGCAAGAATCATATACTAAAACAAGAAATAAAACAGAAACGACACAAATTTAAATTAACAAATAAAATAAGACCTCCTATAAAACATACAGCCACGTAATTAACCGACACTCAATAAATTAGGACTATGTGTATTGTTTTACTTTAAAGTTGTGGGGAACTATAAAGCATACAGCCACGTAATGAATATTTGCTTTTCCCACCTTCGATTATGTGCAATGTCTGTACCGGTTATTTC